TAGCTTCATTCTTAAGACTCTGGGTATAATTTGACATTGTTTTAGCTCGAATCCTGGGTTTCACATACAGCATTGAGATTGTGTCAGAAATGCAGTTTGCTCTTCATGCATGGACAGACATGGTTCTCTCCAAAGGACAGATGCACAGTCCCCACCCAGAGAAGCCAGGTGGACCTGACACAGTGCAGGTCCCATACAAGCCCTGCCCATTCAGCGGGACCGCACGGAGCGTGGTAACCACACCAGCTGGGCACCAACCGTGTGTGAGGCTGTCTACCCATTGTCCTCTCCACTTTGACCCTGCAAGACCTCTCCTGGATTTTATGAATGAGGAAGAAAAAAATGTCTTTGAAAACTTCCGTCAACTTTGGACTCCCCTCTCTGAGTGATAGCTTTAATTACTCTAAATTACTCAGCCACTCTGCTCTTCTCCCCCGTCATTAAAAATAGATTTTCTCTTTGAACTCCACTCCTCCCTCAGGTCTCCAGATACTGAGGCATGCTGAGGACAGTGCCCGGGTCAGCTTCTGGGCAGGAGCCTCTTGGCATATCAGCCGCAGTCACGGCCTCTGGAAATGAGGCCTCTGCTGGGGTCTCACACCTCCTTTTCATAATAAAAATGGTCCCGGTATTGTCACCGCTTCGACGGGCAGGGGCCTAGGACAGTGTGTGTTTTATGAAGGTTTAGAGGCTCTGCACAGGACCATAGATTTTTAAGAAAGCAGATCCAACCTTGGGAGTGAACAAGAATGAATGCTTCGTGGCTGTTCCTAAGGAAGAGCCATGCTGACGGATGTCCTCCCTGTGACAGCTTCCAGGGGCAGTAAGGAAATAGAGACCAGAAGCGGTTGGCAGGAGTGCCGAGGGGCTAGGCCAGGACGGAACCCTCTCATTCCACCCCTGGGCGGGCAGAGGGCTCCGTCCTGCAGGCCACTGAGGTAGAGCAGCCTCTCCCCCTGGCTCCAGTCCCACTGGGGAATCCTCCACCAGCCACCCCACCCCAGGCTGGCTCCGCCTCCACCTCCTGCCATCACCTCTTGCCCTCCTGAGTCACTCAGTGAATCACTGTTAGAAAACACAACCGAGAAAATGAGCTGGGAAACGCACAGTGGTCAGGCGGATGAACCCAGGTGCTGCTGTGTAGGAGGAAGACAGACGAGGATGATGCTGGCCACCAGCCCATGGGGTGAGGGCTGGGCTAAGGGATGTGGCCCAAGGTGTGGCACAGGAAGGGCTCCCCAGACTGTCCCTTTCAGCCTCCACACCTGAGAGCAGCCGGGCTCAGGTGGGGCTGGGCCTCCCGTACCTCCAGCCCTCGAGTTTTGTTCTGTGACAACTGTGAAGAGAATAGAGCCCGGAGCTCCCAGGCAAACCACACTCGAGCTTCCGTGTTGGCTGCAGCACTGAGGAGACTCTGGGCGCGCTGTGGAGGAGAGAGGCCTCCCTTCCATCCTCCAGCAGCCCCTGCATCCTGACAGTGGCTGAGTACAGACAGGCAGAGCCTTACCTGCCTGCGAGTTGCCTTGCACTTCCTAAACCCTGCCCCGGACTTGCCTCACGTCTGACCCGGCTTCTCTCTCTTGAGACTGACCCGGAAGAGCTTCCTCCACCCCACAGGAGCCCACCCAGTTCGTCAGAGAGGACTCAGCGGCCCCATCTCGGGCAGTGAGGGCTCTCCTCCCACTGGCCATGAGACCAGAGAAGGGCCAGCCCTGTGAGGCCTGAACTTCCTGATGGATCAAATGGAATCCTAATAGGTAGCAGTACCTGTCCTCTCTTCCTCCAAGGGGAGCTCTGCAGAGCAGATGAGATAATGTGTGTGAAAGCAATGTGAAAATGCTAAAACCCTCTGCCAGCACTGCTGGGGTTGTGCTGTCGATCTCAGTCTGTATGGAAGCCCTGCTGGGCTGCTCCTCTGCCGTCCGCAGCCATAGATGTCAGTGGGTATCATTCGGTTTCTCGAAAACGGATTTGGATTGAGGGAAAGGGAGACAATGGGGCCAAAGTGCTGCAGACTTGAAGGATTGAGGGGTGGGCTGGCCTGAAGGGACCCCCTAAGAGAAACCACAGTGGAAAGAGGCCGAGGGAGCCAGTTCCACCAGCTTCAGCTGCTGTGGGCTTTGTCCGAGCCCTGGGAGCAGGAGGCTGCCCAGGAGGCCAACTGCACACCCCAGCCAGGCTGTCTGTGCCACCTCCCACCCTGCCACCTGGCCCCGGCCACTGAGAGGGCCTCTGTTCCTCTCCGTGTGTCAGGAGCAGGGCACACATGCAGGGACAGGTGTACCATCTGGTGGGCAGAGCAATTCCAGGGAGCGAGGATTAAGCGCTGAGAGTCGGAGGGGCGCACTCCCTGGGGAGCAGCTCTCCTGTCCCTCCCACCGACTGCTCGTCTGTGCCTCTCTCTGCCAGAGAACCCTGAAGGCCCCGTGGACGCGGAGTGCCCCCACCAGGCTCAGGTGTACCACCACCTTGTGCTTTGACCCACGACCGGGCCTTGATGGTCCCTGCCTGGTGGCATCTGTCCAGCTGTAATGCAATCATCTGTTCCCTCAGGGGAGCCCTGGGCTTCAGGAGGGCAGAAGATGTCGCCCCTCTACCTAATGGAGGGTTTGGCACGACGTAATGCTCAGTGTGTGTCAGGACTGAGCAGGACTCGGGCAGTCTGTCGTTAGAGCCCTGTGGGGTTTTCTGCTCTCAGCTCAGTGTTTCCCTGGAAGACTCCAGATGCTCAGACCAGGGAGCCCTGCAGGTGTCCGCCCAGGTGTCAGATGGAGAACCCAGGCTCTGTCCCAAACCCACCCAGCCTGGGTTCTTGTTCTTGTGCCCCGCATTCGGTGCTCCTCCATCTGAAGAGTGGTGTGTGTGCAGCTGACGGCAGCACCTGTGCGGGCCTCTTCCAGGATGAGGGGTACAGCCACCGCCAGCCCCTGCCTGGAGGTCCCAAACTCTGCAAACCTGCCATGACTTTCAGGATCTTTGGGACTGAGGCTGGCTCTGGGCTTCCCCCAGTGACTGTCCCCGTAGCCAACACTAATCTGATACAGTCCTCGTCCGAAGTGGAGCTCACACCCATGGGCCGCCCAGATGCCGACCGAGGGGGTAGCAGGGAGACCACCCCACATCAGCGCCTCTGCAGAGCCCTTCCCCGGTGGAATCAAGCCAAGGAAGGCACAGGGACGTGGGGCCCTGGGGCCAGAGGAGCCAGCAGCGCAGTATGAGTCACCTTTAATTAGGAGTATTTCTTAAGTAAATGACTTAATAGGACAGTTATATTCATTAGAGGCATAATTACAAGACATAGGATCAGGCAGAAAAGAATGTGGAACACAAAGGCGGAATCCAGTGGGAGGAGGCACCATGGGTTGGGGACAGGAACAAGGGCAGGGAAGGTCCTTGTCCCATTGTATGATTCTCATCACAGCTTCGGCCAGCCTAGCCACCCCTGCCCTCGGGGGCGGGGACATAATTAAAATCCAACAATAATAAACAGACACTAATTAAACTCTGACTCAGCCCTGGCAGAGCGCCCTCTGGCGGCCTCGCATTGTGCACACCCTCTAGGAGAAAGCACAGCCTCCTAGAGGTTCTTGGGAACAGAGGCCCCAGCCCAGTACCCAGCTGGCACCTGGGGCTGCGCTGGAGATGGCTCCCTACTCCGGAGACTCAAAATGAATAGTCAGTTTGTCTCAGGGCATAAAGTGGTCCCCCAGTTCAGGTGCTTTCCCCCACATATCCCGAACTACTGTAATTCCTGCCGAAGCCTCAGGGCGAGTCTGATTCTGCTTCTTTGCAGCCTGCACCCTACATTTAGAAAGCTGTCCCCAAGGCACTGAGGTTGTCTGATCAGTGATTCCCCAGCTGTAGCACCCAGGGATGAGCTGGAGAGATGCTAGAGCCCAGGTGAGGGCTGCCCAGCTTTCCAAACAAGCGCGCCCTCAGCTTTCTTGTCTGAAAAGCTCGCAGGTAATGCCGGGAGAGCAGGCCTGAGGATCCAGCCTTGACGGCCATCACCCCTTGAAAGCCACAGGGCCATCTGCTTATGGGGGACGTTCTTCTGACCAAGGAGTGGCAGGCTAGAGGTCTCGGGGTGGCAAGGTGCTGTGTCCTCCCCGCCCTTTCCCCGTGGAATTGGTGTAGCAGTCACCTCAGAACCTGACCTACACCGCATCTGTCACAGAAACTCCCTGCTCTTCCTCCTGGGCAGCCGCGTCCCACACGCACAGCACCGGCGGCAGACCTGGGCCCACGAGTGCTTTCCACTTTGCTAACAGCGGTGTCCCCAAAAGTGAGAAAACAGATTTTATTTAACCCAATCTGTACAAAAGGGTGGCTTTGGAACATGCTAACGACAAATTCTTAACGTGGTATTTTATTTATGTTCCAAACTCTTCCGAATCCCTTGTGTGTTGGGCTCATGCGGCTACCTCAGCTCAGTTGGCCGCTCTCAGGTGTGCGTGAGCTGGGGCACAGGTGGCCATCACGCCGGACGGGGCAGACACACAAGCGTTTGGTTTCTCTCGGCCCTGTCTCGGGACCTCTAATAGAACACTGTCCCTCTCTCATTTTTATGGCTGTCTGTTTACAACTTGAGGGTGACGGCTGTGCTTTGATGCTGTCCTTTTGCTTTGCTCCTGAAGTGGCCTGCATGGAGGATGTGATCAGTGAGTGCTGGGTGGTGAATGAACATAGAAAGCCCGAATACGGGGACAGCGGGAGTCCCCGGGGACCTCTGACTTCGAGGACCTCCTCGCAGTCGCCGTGGCATTTCTCTCCTCCGGTATCTGCATGGCTATTAGACCTCAGAGGCAAAGAATTCTAGTGGTAGGAACCCCCCCCCATAAGTTTCCTGTTTCACTTTACTCTTTAACTCAGTACATTAAAAAAAAAAAATCCCACCAGGAGGGCCCAGGAAACAGGAAAAATAGTTGTGCCGTTGGTTTCATGTTTGGAGAAGAACAGGGTTTCACTATCTCCGTGGCACTTGGCGTGAAAGTGGGCTTTGTTGCTGGAGACACTGCACCCATTCAGGGCCCCCGGCCCCAGCTGCTGAGAGCCGGGCTGTGTTTTGACAGACGGGCCGAATGCAATGCAGACAGTTGTTTTAATTTCCAGCCAGATGCAGACATCACTCACAAGGAGCCCAAGAGCCAAGAAAGGGAGCTGGGCACTGGACTGGTGCTCTCAGGCCTGGCCAAGCAGGTTGGAGGGGGCCAGCGGAAGCCCAGCAGGCAGCAAGGGCTCCAGAGAGCCACAGGCCCCTGCTGCAAAGGCGCTTTCTGCAGCCATCCTGGCCCCAGAGGCAGAGCATGAAAGGCCGTGTGAAACTGGTCGGGATGTTGGCGGTGGCTTGGTGTCATCCTCCAGCCGTCCAGTGTGCAGGTCAGAAGTCGTCACTGCTCTCAGGGAGGAGCTAGGAGAGCCATAGGATCAGTGAGTAGAATGCAGACTGTCTGAACGGGGAGAGAACGGACAGCCCTCCTCTGAGCGTGGAGAGGCCTTGCGCAGCATCCCAGAGGTGTCCCCTGGATGGTGGCTGTGTCCCAAGAGTAGGCGTCTCTCTGGGCAGCAGAGCCACAGTGGCCCCGGACAGCCCTGACTCTGAGCTTTCTCCAAAGCTCTTCTGTGGTCCTACTGCTGCCAGACTGGGGCTGTCAGACACTGGAGAGGCACCCAGGGCCACCTCCACACTCCTCCTGGGGGCTGAAGAAGCAGCTGAGGCCCATCAGCTGCCCTGCCCTGGAGGCCTCTTCTGGACCTCATGCATCCTGGTGCTCTCTGGGCCAGATTGCAGGTTAAGCAGCAGCCCATCTCAGAGCTCCCACCGGGTGACTGAGTCCTGACAGCGTGTGTCTGGCAGCCGGTGACATGTTAGCCATTTCTTGGCCTGTCAGGTCACATTGCACTTAGATGTGTCTCAAACCCTCTCGTGTTACCCACTGGAGGTGTCTTAAACCAGCTACCTCCCAAACTACACTTCAAGAATCCATTGCTTAAGCCAAATTGCAAGATTCACTAATTCTACCTGTACTTCATCTTTCTGTGACTGAAGGGGGTCAGGAGAGCTTAGGGCTGGCGGTGCCCCTCGTGTACAGAGGCGCCTGTGACAGGGATGGAAGTGTGTGGTGCACCGAGGCTGGACAGGGATCCTAGCAGAAGAGGCAGGACAGTCTCCTCCTGAACGGTGCCCATCCCACATCCAGGTTAGTCTGGCCTTGTCCGTAATGGCTTTTGTTCACAGTAGCACTTCAGTTTCGAATGTCCTCCTAAGAGGACTGGCACACAACTCCCCTGAGCCCTCCCTCCCTCCCTCCCGACAGGTAGTCCTGGGCAACCCTCCTCTCGGCCCCCGGGACCCCCACCCTTACTCCAGCAGATGTCAGACACTCAGCACAAGCCTGGGCAACCCTCGGCCTGCAGTTACCAACTCCTAGGGACTGCGGGCTCCATATCAGCAGAAGCTGTGTACGTGAGCTGTGGTTTCTCTATCACTTAGCACCCTTGTCCCCAAAGAATCGACGTCTAATAAGCCTCTCCTGAAGGAGCGATGTTAGCCTTTCAGGAGGGTGCTATGAAGGTGTCTCTGCCAGTGCTTACTCCCCTGTAGTGCCGGATCACAGGCTACATTTCCACCTGAACTCATACCTTCCTCAGCTGCGAGGACCCTGGGCCCTGCACATGAGAATCCATTTCCAGCCCAGCAGAGGCCTTGCAGCTCAGCAGCCTCCTGCCCCGGCCACACACAGATACCTAGGACACAGCCAAGGGGAGAATTCAGTCCCCTGACCCCCTTGCCCGGCCCTTATTGTCACAATGCCGGGGGTGCCTGATGTGGGTCAGGGCCCACTCAGGTCCCTCTGCAGGCCCCCACTCTGCAGGCGAGACAGAACAGACAGCAGCACTTCTCTGCGGAGGTTCCCGTGTAGCCAGATTTTTCAAAGGCGGGGAGATTTACTGGGAACTGAATGCAGCCATCGGAGAAAGGGTAATTGGATCCAGGTGGTATATTCGGTAGGCTGTAAAGAGCCTGCGCCATACTCTGAATGTTACTTGATGGGAAAAGTTTCTCCTCCTCTCCCCTTTTCAGTGTGCTCTGTGCGCGCAGGATGTCTCAGCCCGAGCCCAGCTGAAAGCTCTTCAGCGAGGCGTCTGTGCCGCTCAATAGCCTTTCAGCAGAGTTAACCGTTTTCAGCACTGCCGGGCTCACCCAGCTCCGTGGCAGGCCGGGGGTGCGCTGCACCTCTGGCAGACCTACTCCGCCTTTGCCTCGGGAACGTATTCCGCTAAACCATGCCTGACCCTGCCAGCAGCAGATGAGAGTGCGGGGACCTCTGTGGGCCCCGAGTCACCTTGTTGGCCGTGCAGAGTGCGTGGGTGGGGGTGAGTAGGAACACACATGTGCAAGGAGTCACCGCTGACCTCCCCGTGCTCCCTTTCCTCTCTGCCAGGTCACCAGGGTCCCCGTGGAGTCCTGCGAGCAGTACACGACGTGTGGGGAGTGCCTGAGCTCGGGGGACCCTCACTGTGGCTGGTGCGCCCTCCACAACATGTAAGTTTGGGTCGTACTGGAAGCAGACGAGGGCCACAGAAGAGGGGGGCATCCCTGGGGCGGGGCGGCAGGACCTCAGTTTGCGGAACAAGGAGCAAGTCTTCTTTTGAGCAGTGATCCCAACCACGGCACAGGTGTCAGGGTGGAAGAGGCAGTTCCCCCGAGAGGCCACCGCCTCTGCCTCCTGGAGTGCCGGGGCTGTTTCCTGGTGTTGCTGACCAATCTCACGGGGAAGCCCTAGCGTCTCTCTAGGTTTCCCAGGAAACCCTGTGGCTGCTCCAGCCCAGGGCTGTGGACATGTTGCCCTGGAACCGGGAGATCAGTGTCTGGCCAGCCACTGTGTGACCCTGGATGAGCCCTCTGACAGCTCCAGGCCTTCCTTTCTCTGTTGCTAAATAAGGAAAATGCCTGTTTCACAGGTGAATTGTGAAGACCAAATGAAATAATAAGTGCTTTGGAAGTAAGGAAGCCCTGAAGAGGCTACAGAAATCAAAATAACTATTATGGACTCTGCACCCTTGGGAGAACCCTTCTGGCCTCATTATTTCCTGATTCCAAGAAGACTGCATGCCCCTCCCCCTGGCCTCACACCCCTATTCAGATACAGCCCCCCATTGAATACCAGCTCAATAGAAATGCAAAATCACACTTAAACTTCCTAATTTGAAGAGCCCCAGAGGAAGAGAAAAGGGTGAAAACCAACAGGCGGGAGCTGGCTAGGAATTCTCTTGCCCAGTGGAGTTGGAAACTCCATGGCCCGGTGCCAGGCGGCAGAACATCTCCATGAAATGTGCGGAGTTTGGGGTGGAGGCGGAGGCGGAGGGCCAGAGTTCAGGGTCCCGCACAAAAGCGCTTGGCTTCCAGCCTCCACAGCAGGTGTTGGGAGGATTGGGAGGGAGGAAGGAGGCTGGTGCTTCACAGATGCAAAATCTGGACTGGATTTGAGGCCACAGACACTGGGTTCCAAGCTTTGGTTTCGGAGGTGAGAGATTCCTCAGCAAATGCTGCAAAAACGAACCAGTCAACAAAGATGCGGAGGCCATACACACTGCCCCCCAGAAACACCCAAAGGAGTGAATTTGGGTTCCCAACAGGAGGGTGACCCACCAGCCAGCAGGCTCTCTCCTCCAGAGTTTTTGTCTCTGAAAAGCCTAACAGCCCACCGGTTCCATGCAAAGGTCCTGGGCTGTGTGCCCTCTCGCTCTGCGGCAGCCAGGTCCAGCTGTGCCTGACTTCCCTCCCTTCCACCCTGCCTCCCTGTTCTGGTGCAGGTATAACTTCTCCCACACAGAACACAGCAGAATTATAGATCAGGATGGACATCAGCTCACTGGCAGGGACATGAGTTTCCGCAAGCTGTCCTAGCATCTGCCCCAGACCACTCATCGTCTGTGGGTCTGGGACTGTGGCTTCTAGAACAGAAGGGGTAGCTTGGACTTCCTCTGCCCCCCCCCATCCCCTTCCCTATGCCCAGAGAATCCTCCTGACCTGCCCAGGCTCACCTCTCCCAGCACCTCTCTCTCACCAAGGGCATGAGGAGAGCGAGAGTTTCGATGTCTCTGCTCTCCTGGCCTGGTCGTTACTCACTGCCTGCTGCAGTGCCCTGCCCCCAGCCTCCACCAGCATGCCTGCCAGGAGGGTGCCAGGGAGCCAGGCAATCTGAGCTCCAGGCCAATGGAAGGCACAGGGCTGCAGGAGAGAGCTGAAGAGCCCCGGGTCCAGGGGGATTGAAACCTCCCTGTCTCTTCTGTGTGCCTTGCCCTTGCAAGAGTGTTATTGTCTCCTGGGCTATTTATCTCTGTTAGGGCTATTGCCATAAATAGTATGATAAAAAAGAGCCATTTCAGTGAGTCAATGAGATAAAGGCTCCAGTCAAGAGCTCACTTTAGAGCTATCTTAAGGATTCACTTAAACCTCAATAATTCTTTTCTTTGACAGCATTCATATTTAGATCCATTATGTGGCCTGGAAAGGAAGAGGGGGTGGAGTCTGGGAGAGCGGCGGGAAACCCTGCCTGATGAGGAATCTCAGCGTCCCAGGGCTGTTTGGTGCACAGCCGTCAGCCCTGGAGCACACTCTCCGGGACAGGGCAGGTGACCTGCCGAAGCTCCAGCGCGGTGGTGCCCACCTGCCACGTGTGGTAGAGGGGCCTGAGCAGGGATGAAGACATCAGGCAGAGCAGCCATGCAGGGTTTCGGGCACAGGCAGCCCTGGCCACGGCACCTTGTCTGTATCTGTCCCCAGGCATTATCTCACGACACAAGCATTTATTTAAAATACTCCCTGTGACAGGTGGAATATCCCACTGAATAAAACATAACTTCTGCCTTCAGAGAGCCATTAATCCACCAGCAAGATCACAGGCTCACTGCCCCACACAGCTAAGACCCCTCTCCTCTTTTCTGACCCCTTCTGGAGGAAATCATTGCCGTCTCTCACAGTGGTACTGCGGGGCATCGCCAACACTGCACTCGCTAAGTGTGGGCGTCACCCCAGCCCTCCTCGTCAGTCTGTGGGTCCTCAGCAGCCTGGGAGGCAGAGGAGAGGGACCGACTAACCTGCTCAGAGGGTGGGAGACCCCAGCCGAGCCTCCAACAGGACTGGCAGAGGAATGCTTTCTCCCCAAGCTGCACCCTGTGCCGGGAAGGCCTCCTGCCCCTCAGCCCCTCACTGCCCCGACCCCCTGAGAGTCCCCAGAGCCGGCCAGTTACCAGGGGCCCTGAAGGCACACACCTGGGCTGCAGGCCTGACTGCTTGTGATTCTGTGTCTACCTCAGGTGCTCCCGCAGGGACAAGTGCCACCGGGCCTGGGAGCCGAATCGCTTCGCCGCCAGCATCAGCCAGTGCATGAGCCTGGCCGTGCAGCCCAGCAGCATCTCAGTGTCCGAGCACAGCCAGAAGGTGGGTGACCCGCGGGGAGTGGGGGCGCGGGGCAGGGGAGCACCTCGCTGCTCACACTATATGTGAACCTTGACCAGGCTCCTGGGGCTCCGAGGAAACCTAGTTGTGAACTGGGTGACCCCTCGGTTTCCCATACTCCCTGCGAATGTGTTACCCTTCGATCTGCCTTGGAAATCCAGACTTTTTGCACTTAGTAACAAATCCATGGCACAACACAATCTCATACCAGACACCACTTTCCTTAATGTGTGCTCTGTGCAGTCATCCACCTGCTACCTTCCCTGAGGAAATCTGCAAGTTGGCTTTATGTTGAGGGAGGGAGAGCTTGAACAGGAAGTCAGCGTGTGTGGGAGAGGACGGAAGAGCCCCTCCCCACGCGCCACAGTGCAGCCCCAAATGCCTCAGACCCTCGAGTCCTGGGGCACTTCCTTCTGAAGGTCTTCTGAGCCCCTCACAAGTGTTATTAGTTAATGAACCACCCAGAATTTAGGCCCATCCACCCCCACCGGGAGGTTTCAGCTCTCCGGGCACCAAGGGACAAAGCAGGGGTGAGGTTTGTACCTGGGTCCCCTTGGATAGGATGCTGGTGAAGATGGACAGGTGAAGATGCAAGGACAGACAAATGCATGAACAGGCCAGGTAGCAGGTGCTATCATTGTGACCTAGAAAGCCGCTGGCAGGAAGACGCAGGCAAGCCTACCTGCTGTGCCCGGCTTGGAGGAGGCAGGAGTGCCATGCTGGGGACCCGGCAGTCCTCACCGCCCCAGGGAGCCAGTCGCTTGTCTTGCCCACTCAGATCCCCCCTGGCTGTGTATTGTGATAATTGAGTACAAAAACATTGAAAAATACACTGCATTCGGAGCAGCATTTTGCTGTTAGATATTTTCCCAGTTAACAAACGCTTCTGAAAGCTTGTCATATTTTTACCACTCAAAAGAGCATCTTTAAACTTGACAAGATTGAAGACCACTGGCTTCCGTACTGGAACCCAGAGGTAACAGATGCCCCTGAGCTGCTGGCAGCCCCTTCTCTGGCCCCCTAAGCTTCTGGCAACTTTCCTGCCCCACTGCAGAGGCACTGCTGGAGAGCAGAAGAGACCAGAGCAGACCCTCTAGGGGTGGCCAGCGTGAGGAGCTCCCCTTTGCACCAACCTAGTGAGCTCTGGCAAACCTCCAGGCTGCTCTCCCAGGAGCCCAGGCCGAAGCCTCAGCGATGAAGACCTCAGCTCATGACTTTCCAATTCCCATGGTGCTTTGCAATTGATTTCCATATCAAAATGAGCAGGATGTAAGATGGATTTTGGTCCCTTTCCTTCTTTGCTCCTAACCCCTAGTGCTTTCTGATGCTGGACAAGATTGAAAAATCAATTAGTAATAATATTAATAGAGACCACTGGCCCCGTGCACCACTGAGCAGTTAATTACCATAACTGTTCATTGGCAGAGCTAGAAGATCACCTGGATCGGTTCCTGCTTTGATAGATGACATGCGGGAGGGGCTCCCTGAGTAGCAGGGCTGGGCCGGGCCAGCCTGAGGCCTGGGTCCTGAGCTCTTCGCTCTCCCCACAGCTCAACCTGCTTGTGAGTGACGCTCCAGATCTGTCTGCAGGAGTCACCTGTGCCTTTGGGAACCTGACAGAGGTGGAAGGGCGGGTGTCTGGGAGCAGTGTCATCTGCATGTCGCCTGGGCCCAGGGATGTCCCGGCCATCCCCCTAGATCAAGGTAAGCAGCTGCCGAGAGAGCCAGAGACTGGGCACTGCTCCACCACGGGCACAGAAGTTGCCTGGCCAAGTGTTCCATGTCAGATGCAGACGCCACCCAAGAGAACTTGAGTCTGAGAGCCAACTGCCACGGCCAGGGCGCACTGGGGGTGCGGGGGGACACTTGTTCCCCTTGGGCTGTGGCTGCGGAGTGCAGGGCTGCCGGTGGCCATCCCTTCGGGGCTGAGAGCGGCTTTGGGCCTCAGCCAGTTCTCTCCACAGACCAGGGGTTTGAGGCGCCCTGGCCTGATATTTCTAAAATTGTTCCAGCAGCTGAACACCCCTCCCTGAGGCCAGGGCCGCCATGGGACCTGCTGCTTCCTCCTGGGGTGTGGGTCTGGGGTTCTCAGGAAAAGAACCATGGTCAGTGCCCCAGAAATGCCCATTCCTGAAGACTGACCTTGGAGTCCCCAGGTTATGACTCCTTCCTATTCTTTTTCTTTTTTTTCCCAGACTGGTTTGGACTAGAGCTACAGCTGAGGTCCAAGGAGACAGGGAAGATTTTTGTCAGCACGGAGTTCAAGTTTTACAACTGCAGCGCCCACCAATTGTAAGCACTTCTGGGAAGGAGTGTCGGTTGGGATGTGAGTGTGGGACTTCCCTCCCCTGTGTCTGAGCTCCTGAGGGACAGGAGCTGTGTGGTGGATGCTTCCTGATCTCCTTGGAGGGCTGGGCACATGGTGTGGGCAGGATTGACCATCCTCAGCTCTCCATGGCCTCCGATCTCATTCCTTCCCCTGCACTCGTTACCCCGTCTCAAGACGGGACAGTAAGAAGAGGGTCATGACCAAGAACCGTGGAAAAGGCCTCCATTGTGGGCCCACTGGGTATGGCTTTGCAGGTGGCATTAGGTCGGTGAAGAAGTCAGAACCGAGGAGTCCACAGACCAGACACCGGGAGAGGGGCTTCTCTGAGCACACAGGGAAAGACCTCAGATGGGGAGGAGCAGTGGATGAATGAACTCCACTGTGCACCAGATCTATCCTTCAGCTTCTGAATCAGGAGATCAAACTTCCACCCTCCAGGGCCTGGAGTTCAGTGCAGCTCGGCCTTCTGCAGCAGCTCAGCACCTCCCAGCTGTGCCTCCCAAAGAGGAGACCCCATAACTGTGCAGGAAGCTGGGAGCATTCAACAAGTAAAAGGCAAGGCCAGAAGTGGAGAAGGGAGGAGACTGTGTTTACCTTCTTCTGATTCCAGCAGAGAAACGGAGGCACAGGAGCTGGGCACTCATGAGCTATTTGGTTTAGAGAGAAGGAAATGTACGTCTTGATGCCAGGACTACGGGATTATTATAGGACTGCTCACCATGGTGTCCAGTGGAGGGGAGAGAGCAACCCACAGCTCCGTGCTAGGAGGAGCAGCAATCGGGCATCTTCTAGTGACCCCATCTTTCCCACTGCCCAGGATAGCAGCACTGAGGTGCACATAGTGGGCAGAACTCTAGGGCGTGGAGTCTGTAAGCACCAAGCAGCACAAACAGTGGGTTCGGCGTCAGGTGGGAAAGGGTGTGTTTACCAGCAGGTCCTGATGGGATGTCCAGCCAGCACAGGATGCCAGGGAGCTACTCCTGTCTCCCATCTCTGACCTTGATTTGCATGAGCAGAATGATCTGGAGTTGTGATGTCTCCACAGAAGCCAAGGAAATGTATCTGACCCCACTGGGACAGCTAAGGAGATAGGCTGAGAAAAATGGAGTAGAGCCAAAAATGGCCCACAGAAAACCAACCAGGCAGGGCAGACTGTGGCTAAAGCTGAAATGCACCCCTGCCTTCCAGCCCTAGTTAGCTGTGGGGAATGTCTGCACCTCAGAGAGAATCTATCAGCCTCCTTGAAAACTAACACAGTGGGAATAGAGTCCATTGTCTGTGAGAGCACCCCTCATCTCCATGGCAACTCGGTGTGACATCACCACCTTCAATGATGTTTTGCTATGGCAACGAAGATGCTGTCACAGGAGCAGTAAGTTTTGCAAGAGAAAAAAAAAATCTTGACAGTAGTGATCCCATTTTATTGCCAAACATGATCTATCTTACCCTTCTTCCTTGGCATTCATATTTAAAAGTCACAGCATCAAGTTCATTTCCTTTTTTAATATGGTAAACTGAGGCCCAAGAGAATAAACACTGTCCTGACAGTCACAGAATTAGACAGCAAAAATGCCGTGTCTGCAGCTTCAGTGTCTACAGCCAGTCAATCAGGGAGGACACAACAGAGCATCAAGCTAAACTCAGAGACTCAATAACTTCATACATAAGCAGAAGGGGAGAAAATCGTCCATCTGGGAAAAGGAAGTGTGGACGGGCATTGACCCCTTGCTAGCTCCTCAGCTCCCCCAGACATAGTCAGAGCCCCACCAGGTGGCGCCAGATTGCAGACCTCGCCCTGTCCTGGCATTTTGGTCCCCTCAGCAGAGAGAGAGAGACTAGGGTACCGCCGTCCTGGAGTGAAGAGCAGCCCCATCCCCAAGCCCACATCCTCCCCAGTGCTCTGGTCACACACAGAGCCAAGACAGTACACAGAGCCTCCATGTGCAGCCAGAGGGAAAGAAGCGCTCGCCCTGGCAAGCAGTGCCCGTGTCAAGCATACCATTTTTCCACGCCTGAGTTTGCAGTGATGCGAGACAAAGTCACCGGTTAGTGCTGTTCACTCCCCTACACCCGGGAATGCAGATGCCAGAACCCACTGGTTACCGTTTAAGCACTACTGTGTTTTACTGGTTGAAATCACAGGTGACTTAGGCACTTGAAAATAGTACTCACGCTTAGAAATGTACTTTCTCAAGCCATTTCCTGTACATTATCCCATTGGACACCAAGCCTCCCTGTGGGGTAGAGAGGACTGTTTTATTACAGATAGAGGAAGAAACCAACTCCGAGAGTGGGATGACGTACTCAGGGCACTCTAGGGCCAGCAGCAGCAGCAAGACTGGGTGCACATCTGCCCCGCTTCCTTCTGTGCTGATGCAGCCACTCTGTCTTAGGGGCAGCGGTGTGTGCTAAAGATTTACTACCCGCCATTTGAAAAGCAAACCCAGATTGCAGTATTTTCCAGTTTCTGGGGTTTAAATACTCCCAGCAGTCAAATTTTCAAGCTACTAACATAATGTCATGGTCCTTATGAAACGTGTTCTCCATCCAAGGTGTTCTTGGGACCAGATAAGTAGAAAGAAACCAGGACTAGAGTTAGAGAATCTACGAGCCCACTCTCCTGAGAGGAAGGCTAGGACATGCACAGACTTCCAGCGTGACGCGTGGCTGCGAGCCTGACCCCTTACCATCCCTGTCCCTGCAGGTGCCTGTCCTGTGTCAACAGCGCCTTCCGCTGCCACTGGTGCAAGTACCGCAACCTGTGCACTCACGACCCCACCACCTGCTCCTTTCAGGAGGGCCGCATCAATGTTTCGGAGGTAAGGTGCTCACCTGGGCCTGGCCCTAGTCCTTGTCGATCAGAGCTGCCTGTTCACAAGGTCAATCCGGCAGCTTGAGCGTCTCTCGTCCCGACCCATCCTGGTCTCTTGACCAGCATTGTACATGTCAGAAAGCCCAGTAAGAGAGGCTATATCTGCTTGAGTCCTAAGACTCAGTGCCATGTATTCAAAAGCTGAAAGGTAACAGGGTTGAGGCCGAAGACTGAGAGGAGACATCGAGCCAGACTGTGATCTGGGAGCATGCAGGGGAGGGGGACATTATTCTCCAAGTCGCACCCTTTGCTTGGCTGCAGCCTTAGTGTAGTTAAGCAGAACATCCGCTCTCACCCATTTTTTCCTGCCAGTTTCTCTTCCAACTCTAAAATTCAGTGGTTCTCTGACTCGGACTCAGACAGGGTATGTGGCCTCGCAGAAAGAGAGAAATCCAGCTGGGGAAAAGAACCAGGCATTGCTAGATGTCCACTCTTCTCACACAAAGCCCCGCCCAACACCTAATTCACGGGCTCACCTTTCCAAAGCCCATTCCATCCAGGGATTGAGGGTGCTCACTTGCCGACTTGTCCCCTGCATCCCTCAGGACACTGAAACCTGTAGGTCAGTTCCCCCCTGCTTTTCGTGCCCAAGGGTGGCCATGAGGTCCGTGTGTGTTCACACCAGTGTCCAGATACACACTTCCTCTTATTGCACTTTTTAGAAAACTCAAATGGTACCATTTCTTATACTACCGTGGACTCTGTACACTTCTGCCTGCTGCACTAGACTACAAGGTCCTCATTGTTCAATCCTCTTTCAGTGGCTGTTTGCAGAATGCGTGTGAGGAAGAACAGTAGACAGCGAGCCCTGTACCTGAGTCCCACCAATGGGAATCGTGTCCACCTGTCTAGGATGCCGAGAAATGGAGCCTTTGGGGTCTCCATGGCTAAGCATAAGAAAAGAGACCTCGAAAGTTTCCTCAAACAAGCACTCATAGCCTTGCAATCTTAGTTTCCAAAACAATAGGTATTGTATTCAGTCTGAAAAGTAAAATTTATCTATCTTGAAATGGAGAGACATCAACAGTGCCATGTAAGACAGATGCATCCACAGGGCCCCAGAATTGTGGGACCAGGTACCTGGTGCCCAGGGAATTATCCCAAGAGGGTTCCTCTCTGTCTGATGGGCACGTGGGGCATACAGCTGGCCTGAAAGCACCATACAGGCCTTAGTGGACCCTGGGTGTACACTTCAGCCCTGGAATTCTATAAGGATGGGAAACCCTTCTTCTGAGCTGAGGGTGTGGGCTGGGGCTGAGCACAGCCTGGGAGCTGCCAAGGGGTTGGTCGGAAGTGCGGGCTGGGCAGAGAGACTGTGACCAACAGCCTCAGAGCCTGCCCTCCACTCTGGCTGCCCGGAATGGAGGAGCAGGAGCCCAGAGCCCAGAGGCAGGGGGAAGTGTAGATGCAGACCGGAAGCTGGCTCCCTGTCTGCCCCAAAGCTGAGCCCAGGTGAGACCTTACAGTGAGCAAGACAGACTCGCCTGCCAGACAGGTGCAGTGGAGGCCTGAGGGCTGGGCCCTGACGGCTAATCAGAAGCAGGCCAGGCCTCCTCACGCTGAGCAGGAGCCACAGAAACCCAGCTCCCTCCAGGCCAGGGTAAGAGATGGGGCATCCCAGAGAAAGGGCAGAGAGATGCCACTGCCTCCCTACTACTCAAGTGCAAATAAATACCAAGGAGAGCCAGGAGCTTTCTGAGCTCTTTCCAGTCTCGTCTCCTTTCCTTGATGTCTGTGCCTTGAGGGCAGAGTAGTGGGACCCTTGTCTCCCTCCTCTCCCATCTCCCCAGTGAGACCTGGGTTGATCGCTGCTCATAATGTCGTGCCTGCTCAGTGCTCGTCATATATGCAGTGCTATACGTGTGAGTCTCTGTGTGTGTGTGTGTGTGTGTGTGTGTGTGTGTGTGTGTGTGAGATCTATCTAATCTTGACTGTTTGTGAAGTCAGCTCTAGTACAGATAAGCTGAGGCTCAGACAAGCAAAGCATTGTCACTGATCGCCACCTGAATGCGACATCAGGGTTCAGAGCTGGTGCTCCAAGCTGGTCTCGCACACGTCGGCCTGCTCTAGTTCTGTGTCCGTACACACACGGACGCGAGAGATTCGCGGTATGAGAGTGATGTTGATCCGGCTCATCGCCATCACACCACACTTCCCGCCCCCCTCTCTGGCAGGCTGGGCTGTGGCAGCGTTGGCACCGCCATGGAGACAAGGAGGCCGAGCACAGTTGAGCCACTGGCAGGCAGCCTTGTCCCCCGGCCAGAACACGGCAGCCCCGTGACGGCCCCAAACCTCTGCTCCCCAGGCTGGATACGCCTGTGACATGGTGTTAGCACGTGGTGTGTGGCTTTCAGCTTTTAAAACTCATCTCCCTCCATGGCTAAAGTAGGCCTAGCGAGATGTAGATACATAAATATCTTCTTTACACCCTGTCCCAGGGGAAAGATAGAACGAAATAAATCCGATTAGCTTCCCAGGATGCTGGTTGTGGTCTCACTTGGAAGTCCAGTGGGTGAAGATAATGCCATTTCCACATGGGAGAAGTCGTTTTAGAGGGTGAACAGGCCCCGCGCAGGAATCTGGCAGGGCTTAGGGAAACCAAGCCTGTCATGCAGACCCAGGACTCACAGTGCTCCACATGGGGGTCCCTGTCGCCCCGCAGTTGCATTCGCTCCGCACCTCCTCCCACCCTGTGAGGTTCCCATACAGGACATCTGTTCATCTCTGTTTAAATGGAGATGCTGCTAAGGATGTGGCCTGGCTGTAGTCAGCCACCAGATAGGAGGAACTGGAGGACCGGAAGATGTTGCATGGGAGGCTGTAGGCCCAATTAGCTTCTTACAAAAGTTGCTAACAGTCTTAGCATTCTACAGGAAAGCCTTTATGATTCTTTCCTGTCCTTTGGATGAGAAGTATGTATATACCTGTGTGCGTGTGTGTGTGTGTGTGTGTGTGTGTGTGTCCACATAAACAAATGGCTTGGAAATGGCCTTGTTGTATCTGATGAGACCAGTTACCTTCCCCAAGCCCCAGATGTATTAAAGTTCCAACCACCCAGCAATTCCCCAGCTGCCAGCTCTTTGGCACCTGCCTTCTGCCTCACCACTGCCACTTCCACCCAGGACCCACTGCCCCTCACTAGTGGTCCCACCAGAATCACCCCACAGCCCCAGAAGTCTGAATCTCCAATTGCCTGCCATGCAGAGTGCCTCAGACTTCAGCCACTTCTTTCCTTTGCCCTAAAAAACAGAAGGAAACCTCCCGTCTGCCTGAGAGTCATAGCCAAATAAACAAAACCCAAGAGATCCTTTTACTATGGGCAATCTTGCAGCCTGCTTGTCATTTGATAAGATCCTATATCTAGTTCCTAAAGACCTGAGATAGCCGACTGTGGAAAAGTTTTCGAAAATCCTAGAATCCTTTAAAAACTTTCGAGAGTTTTCATCAAATCTGCTCATCATTCTGTGTGTGTGTGTGTGTG